GAACTGAACTAGAACTGAACTAGAACTGAACTAGAACTGAACTAGAACTGAACTAGAACTGAACTAGAACTGAACTAGAACTGAACTAGAACTGAACTAGAACTGAACTAGAACTGAACTAGAACTGAACTAGAACTGAACTAGAACTGAACTAGAACTGAACTAGAACTGAACTAGAACTGAACTAGAACTGAACTAGAACTGAACTAGAACTGAACTAGAACTGAACTAGAACTGACCTAGAACTTGAACTAGACTAAACTAGAACTGAACTAGAACTGAACTACTGAACTAGAACTGAACTAGAACTGAACTAGAACTGAACTAGAACTGAACTAGAACTGACTAGAACTGACTAGAACTGAACTAGAACTGAACTAGAACTGACTAGAACTGAACTAGAACTGAACCTAGAAGTCAACTAGAACTGAACTTAAACTAATCTATAACTGAGTATCTAAAAAAAAGAAATTTAAGAAATTTTATTAAAAAATTATATTTAAAAAAATTTTACTAGAAATAGAAATTTAAGAACAAAAAATAATTCAAGGAAATCTTACTAAAAATAACATAAATGAACAATTTACTATAATTTAAATTAAACACATTTTTTCTTTCCCGTATTTACTTTTGCCTTTTTCCTAAAACTCTCATGGTTTTTCACTTTTTACAAAACAACAAAGAAATAACAATATAATAAAAATCCCAATAAAGGAACAACAAAAATGTAAATACTCCATTTAAACCACGTGGTTATATAACAGCGCATAGCAAAATATACATCAAGCGCACAATCCTGCAAACATTACACTTAAATACTCATACATTTATACAACAACCGTAACCCCACAAATACTTAGACAAACAAACAGGATTTTACAAATTTCAAAAACGCAAATAAACAGAGATTTAAGATAAAAACAAAACAAGGAAAAATTAGAGAGAAAACGTACCACTACAGACCCAGTAACCCAATTTCGGAAGGAGGAGAGCTAAAAATGGCGGGAAAACATACACTCAACAAAAACAAACTGAGAGCGTATGAGCGATATAATGAAAAAACATAAACAAATAAACAGCTGTTTTGTAAAAGCTTTTTCATCAACTTATCCTCTAAGGTCAGTTGTCTTTATAGTGACGTCATTAATTTCCAATACGCAACTAATGACGTCAGTGTTTTTGAAAGTTTTTGTATTGGAAAAAGCTGTAAATAAAATGTAACAAGTTGTTATTACTTTAAGGAATGTATTAACGCCATCTATGTACTATTATTAATAGTTTTAAGAGAATGTATGTTAAATTTAAATTTTTATCATTTAAAAGTTTAATATTTCAAACAGTTATGTTGAACAAAAGAAATTGATAAGGAAGTCCTTAAGAAGGAAAACCACATACTTACTTTTAAAATACAAGATATTTTAAGTGCAAATACTTGTTGTATTTTTAATGCCCATTAAAAATAATAGTACAACACACCACTTACCTAAAAAGATATGAAAAACAAAAGAAAATACATGAGATTTTAAGAATTATGTCCTGTTTTTATTAATATTTAATAATTTATAAGGAATATTAAGAAATTTAAATAAAACCGCAAACAGTACTTTTGATGATTTGTGGGTTGAAAAACTGTATTTACACATTTTCCTATAAGTGTAATGGGGAAGCTGAACACAAAGTGAACTAGAACTAAACTGAACTAGAACTGAACTGAACTAGAACTAGAACTGAACTAGAACTGAACTGGAACTGAACTAGAACTGAACTAGAACTGAACTAGAACTGAACTAGAACTGAACTAGAACTGAACTAGAACTGAACTCGAACTGAACTAGAACTGAAGTAGAACTGAACTAGAACTGAACTAGAACTGAACTAGAACTGAACTAGAACTGAACTAGAACTGAACTAGAACTGAACTAGAACTGAACTAGAACTGAACTAGAACTGAACTAGAACTGAACTAGAACTGAACTAGAACTGAACTAGAACTGAACTAGAACTGAACTAGAACTGAACTAGAACTGAACTAGAACTGAACTAGAACTGAACTAGAACTGAACTAGAACTGAACTAGAACTGAACTAGAACTGAACTAGAACTGAACTAGAACTGAACTAGAACTGAACTAGAACTGAACTAGAACTGAACTAGAACTGAATTAGAACTGAACTAGAACTGAACTAGAACTGAACTAGAACTGAACTAGAACTGAACTAGAACTGAACTAGAACTGAACTAGAACTGAACTAGAACTGAACTAGAACTGAACTAGAAATGAACTGAACTAACACTGAACTAACACTGAACTAGAACTAGAACTGAACTAGAACTGAACTAGAACTGAACTAGAACTGAACTAGAACTGAACTAGAACTGAACTAGAACTGAACTAGAACTGAACTAGAACTGAACTAGAACTGAACTAGAACTGAACTAGAACTGAACTAGAACTGAACTAGAACTGAACTAGAACTGAACTAAAACTGAACTAGAACTGAACTAGAACTGAACTAGAACTGAACTAGAACTGAACTAGAACTGAACTAGAACTGAACTAGAACTGAACTAGAACTGAACTAGAACTGAACTAGAACTGAACTAGAACTGAACTAGAACTGAACTAGAACTAACTAGAACTGAACTAGAACTGAACTAGAACTGAACTAGAACTGAATTAGAACTGAATTAGAACTGAACTAGAACTGAACTAGAACTGAACTAGAACTGAAGAACTGAACTAGAACTGTACTAGAACTGAACTAGAACTGAACTAGATCTGAACTAGAACTGAACTAGAACTTATCTACTAACTAAGTAACACAATTTTTACAAACATCCAAATAAATATTAATAAATTTATTATTTGTTTTATATGTATAATAAGATTAACCTGAAAATAATATTCAAAGTTTTTTTATGGCCTTATGTATATGAATGTTTATATAATTGTACATTGTACATACATATACACATATCTATGTTTCAGAATAAATCAATTAATTTTTCCACAACCCAAAGGCTCATATTGCAATAATAAAAAGACTTTCTATGTTATTTGAAAACAAAAATAAAAGAAAATAATAAAAAAATAAAATTTTATTAACATGTCAATGGCAATAAAACAAATGACAAAATATCGATTTCTTTACAAAAAAAAATCATAAAAATAAACAGAAACCAGTAGTGGGACTTTAATCAGCTATAACGAATATTAGATACACTTCGAAGATCTGAGAAATCCGTTTCACTACTTATTTATTATCATTTAAAAGCACTATTGTCTAGTCTATAGTCTATTCCAAAGTCTAGTCTATAGTCTATAATCTAATCTATAGTGTAGTGTATAGTCTAGTCTATAGTCTAGTCTATAGTCTAGTCTATAGTCTAGTCTATAGTCTAGTCTATAGTCTAGTCTATAGTCTAGTCTATAGTCTAGTCTATAGTCTAGTCTATAGTCTAGTCTATAGTCTAGTCTATAGTCTAGTCTATAGTCTAGTCTATAGTCTAGTCTATAGTCTAGTCTATAGTCTAGTCTATAGTCTAGTCTAGTCTAGTCTATAGTCTAGTCTATAGTCTAGTCTATAGTCTAGTCTATAGTCTAGTCTATAGTCTAGTCTATAGTCTAGTCTATAGTCTAGTCTAGAGTCGTCTATAGTCTAGTCTATAGTCTAGTATAGTCTATCTATAGTCTAGTCTATAGTCTAGTCTATAGTCTAGTCTATAGTCTAGTCTATAGTCTAGGTCTATAGTCTAGTCTATAGTCTAGTCTATATTAGTCTAGTCTATAGTCTAGTCTATAGTCTAGTCTAGTAGTCTAGTCTATAGGTCTAGCCTATAGTCTAGTCTATAGTCTAGTCTATAGTTAGTCTATCGTCTAGTCTATAGTCTAGTCTATAGTCTAGTCATATAGTCTAGTCTATAGTCTAGTCTATAGGTCTAGTCTATAGTCTAGTCTATAGTCTAGTCTATAGTCTAGTCTATAGTCTAGTCTATAGTCTAGTCTATAGTCTAGTCTATAGTCTAGTCTATAGTCTAAGTCTTAGTCTATAGTCTAGTCTATAGTCTGTCTATAGTTAGTCTATAGTCTAGTCTATAGGTCTAGTCTATTAGTTAGTCTATAGTCTAGTCTATAGTCTAGTCTATAGTCTAGTCTATAGTCTAGTCTATAGTCTAGTCTATAGTCTAGTCTATAGTCTAGTCTATAGTCTAGTCTATAGTCTAGCTATAGTCTGTCTATAGTCTATCTATAGTCTAGTCTATAGTCTAGTCTATAGGTCTAGTATATAGTCTAGTCTATAGTCTAGTCTATTAGTCTATTCTATAGCTCTAGTCTATAGTCTAGTCTATAGTCTAGTCTCTAGTTAGTCTATAGTCTAGTCTATAGTTAGTCTATAGTCTTATTAGTCTAGTCTATAGTCTAGTCTATAGTCTAGTCTATAGTCTAGTCTATAGTCTAGTCTATAGTCTAGTCTATAGTCTAGTCTATAGTCCTAGTCTATAGTCTAGGCCTATAGTCTAGTAATAGTCTAGTCTATAGTCTAGTCTATAGTATCGTCTATAGTCTAGTCTATGTCTAGTCATAGTCTAGTCTATAGTCTAGTCATAGTCTAGTCTATAGTCTAGTCTATAGTCTAGTCTATAGTCTAGTCTATAGTCTAGTCTATAGTCCTAGGTCTATAGTCTAGTCTATAGTCTAGTCTATAGTCTATAGTCTAATCTATAGTCTAGTCTATATTCTAGTCTATAGTCTAGTCTATAGTCTAGTCTATAGTCTAGTCTATAGTCTAGTCTATAGTCTAGTCTAGAGTCTAGTCTATAGTCTAGTCTATAGTCTAGTCTAGAGTCTAGTACATAGTTTTAACTTTGGCAACCTTAAAATCATTGTAGACCAGTGTAGTTGAAAATTTCCCAAAGACGCTTGGAAATGGTGTAGAATTATTTCCTAAACTGTCAAAATCTTATTAATTTCCTATTGAAATTTGTTTATAAAATTTAAAATGAAAAAATATCGTGTTAAAAAACTACCAGCTAAATGTAATATTTTAGGACTGAGCTATCGCAGTATAAGCATTTTAATAGCGTCTGTTTTAATCGCACAAAATGTCTCTTATATTTTAAGTTTTATGCTAAAAACCAAAATATCCTGCTATATTTACAACAATGGTCTCTATAGTCTGGTCATACAATTTGGTAAGTTAAGAAGGCCAAAAGAAAACCAAAAAAACTTTATATTTCAATACCAAACTAAATCCCTGTCATAATCAATTCGATATTTATGTGTCTGTGTCTGTTAATCCAGGAGATGATTATTGGTCTTTAGTTGGCTTATTGATTGCAATATTATGTCTTGCCACCAATACCGCACTGCTAGTAGGATCTATCTGGGTAAGTAGTAGTAAGTAGTATTGGTATGGTGATATAAATAAGTATTAATGGATTATTGATTTTGTGAAAGATTCGTTTTTTTTTTCTCTTATTATTTTATTACAATTATTTGTGTTCTTTTTTTATTATTGTTATTTTATATTGATATGACGTCGTCTTGTTTGTTGCTGTTGCAGCTTGTTAAAAGTTTCATATTGATGTGGTATGTTGGTGGTATAATACAATTCGTGTATTTGTTAAGTTTCCAAAGTTTTTGTTTATCTACAAAATCTTGTAATAATCATTGCACAATGGATCAAGAAGCTATAAAATATTATCACTGGGGATTTGGTTGGTGTTTGTTTATAACTTTATGTAAGTTTTTGTTGATTCTCTTGTAGTTTTTTTTGGTAAAAGAAAAATAATGTAGATGTATGTAAGTAGTTGGTAAATCTTGCATTAAATATTAATAAAGCTTAGACAACATGACCATGAAATAAAACAATTTTATATACATATAATAGATTATAGACAAATAATCAATGGCTTTAATGTTAAATTAATTATTTTAGCTTAAAGTGTTCGCTAATGTAGTTAAGCGATAGTTATACGAATATAACAGACCTTTCCTAGTCAAAGAACTTTCGATCTAAGAAATCAAATAGTAAATTCTAATAATTTTTCTTTTTTCTAGATTTCTACGTTACTTTCATCTTTAAAATACAACTTTTTTATGAATATGTCAAATATCTGCAACGACCTCGTCTTACAACATTTTCGGGCAATGAAATGTTTAATCGCAGTTCCTTTTATAGAAGATCATCCAGTGTGAATATATAATTCCTCAAGATCCTACTAAAATACACAAAGTAAGTGGGTTTCATATCAAAAACTTTAACCTGATAACTTGATAACTTTATAGCTTTATAGCTTTATAACTTTATAACTTTATAACTTTATAACTTTATAACTTTATAACTTTATAACTTTATAACTTTATAACTTTATAACTTTATAACTTTATAACTTTATAACTTTATAACTTTATAACTTTATAACTATAACTTTATAACTTTATAACTTTATAACTTTATAACTTTATAACTTTATAACTTTATAACTTTATAACTTTATAACTATATAACTTTATAACTTTGTAACTAAATAACTTTATAACTTTACTTCTAAAAAGTTCCAAAAAATTCCAATTTTTTAATCCTTAATCATGAAATGACGAACTCTACGAACTAAATATTAAAATAATTGAACTTGTTCCTAACATATTTAACCAAAAAAAGACACGTTTTCCCCCGAACTAAATAAAACCATCAAAATTATGTTAATTACCAACTTATAAAGGAAAAGTTACAAAACTTTCTTCAAAACACTTCCAAAGATTGTTGCTAAAGGCCAAAGTCAATTATTATTTATTTGTAAAATAAAAACGAAAAAGTATGTAATAATATTTAATACATTACACTAAACACACAAAACTTTATATAAACATTGACAAAAAAGGAAATTTGGTCAAAAAGTGTCTTTAGAATTTAACGTTGTCTTTTCTAAAAGTAAAACATAACAAGTTAAAACAAAAACCTATACTTCGTAAAAATAGAGCAAATTTATAAAAGAAAAATGTTAATGAAAACAATAAACTTTTTACTAACTGTAAACACGACAGATAACCTTTAAAAAAAAGGAAGAAAATATGTTTGTAATATTTTCCACTTTTTAGCCGGAACTTAAAACATTATTTACATAACAGTTAAAAGGAATTCTTAGATAGAAAAAAAAACTCAAAAACAACAAAAACAAAAGTGAAATAAATAAAAATACTTAAAAAACGAAGAATAAACAATTTAAAATGTAACGAGAGCTTCAAGGATAAAATATAATAGCAAAACGGCGCTATGAAGGCGACACCACATTAAAGTGGAGCAACAGGCCAGAGGTGATAAAAAACATTTAACAGGAAATTTAAAACTTGTTGTTAACAAATTTGCAAAAGTTTTTTAGTCTTAAATTTATTTATTTTTACTTTTATTAAAATAATAGAAAATATGCCAAAATGATCACTAGACTGTAGACTAAACTATAGACTAGGATAGACCAGACTAATCCATATACTAGACTATAGACTAGACTATAGACTAGACTATAGACTAGACTATAGGCTAAACTATAGACTAGAATATATACTAGACTATAGACTAGACTAAGACTAGACTATAGACTAGACTATAGACTAGGACTAGATAGACTAGGACTATAGACTAGACTATAGACTAGACTATAAACATAAAGCTAGACTAGACTAGACTAGACTAGACTATAGACTAGACTATAGACTAGACTATAGACTAGACTAGACTATAGACTAGACTATAGACTAGACTATAGACTAGACTATAGACTAGACTATAGACTAGACTAGACTACTAGACTATAGACTAACTAGACTAGACTAGATTAGACTATAGACTAGACTATAGACTAGACATAGACTAGACTATAGACTAGACTATAGACTAGACTATAGACTAGACTATAGACTAGACTATAGACTAGACTATAGACTAGACTATAGACTAGACTATAGACTAGACTATAGACTAGACTATAGACTAGACTATAGACTAGACTATAGACTAGACTATAGACTAGACTATAGACTAGACTATAGACTAGACTATAGACTAGACTATAGACTAGACTATAGACTAGACTATAGACTAGACTATAGACTAGACTATAGACTAGACTATAGACTAGACTATAGACTAGACTATAGACTAGACTATAGACTAGACTATAGACTAGACTATAGACTAGACTATAGACTAGACTATGGACTAGACTATAGACTAGACTATAGACTAGACTATAGAATAGACTATAGAATAGACTATAGACTAGACTATAGTCTAGACTATAGACTAGACTATAGACTAGACTATAGACTAGACTATAGACTAGACTATAGACTAGACTATAGACTAGACTATAGACTAGACTATAGACTAGACTATAGACTAGACTACAGACTAGACTATAGACTAGACTGTAGATTAGACTATAGACTAGACTGTAGACTAGACTATAGACTAGACTATAGACTAGAATATAGATTAGAATATAGACTAGACTACAGACTAGACTATAGACTAGACAATAGACTAGACTATAGACTAGACTATAGACTAGACTATAGACTAGACTATAGACTAGACTATAGACTAGACTATAGACTAGACTATAGACTAGACTATAGACTAGACTATAGACTAGACTATAGACTAGACTATAGACTAGGCTATAGACTAGACTAGACTAGGACTATAGACTAGACTATAGACTAGACTATAGACTAGACTATAGACTAGACTATAGACTAGACTATAGACTAGACTATAGACTAGACTATAGACTAGACTATAGACTAGACTATAGACTAGACTATAGACTAGACTATAGACTAGACTATAGACTAGACTATAGACTAGACTATAGACTAGACTATAGACTAGACTATAGACTAGACTATAGACTAGACTATAGACTAGACTATAGACTAGACTATAGACTAGACTATAGACTAGACTATAGACTAGACTATAGACTAGACTATAGACTAGACTATAGACTAGACTATAGACTAGACTATAGACTAGACTATAGACTAGACTATAGACTAGACTATAGACTAGACTATAGACTAGACTATAGACTAGACTATAGACTAGACTATAGACTAGACTATAGACTAGACTATAGACTAGACTATAGACTAGACTATAGACTAGACTATAGACTAGACTATAGACTAGACTATAGACTAGACTATAGACTAGACTATAGACTAGACTATAGACTAGACTATAGACTAGACTATAGACTAGACTATAGACTAGACTATAGACTAGACTATAGACTAGACTATAGACTAGACTATAGACTAGACTATAGACTAGACTATAGACTAGACTATAGACTAGACTATAGACTAGACTATAGACTAGACTATAGACTAGACTATAGACTAGACTATAGACTAGACTATAGACTAGACTATAGACTAGACTATAGACTAGACTATAGACTAGACTATAGACTAGATTATAGACTAGACTATAGACTAGACTAGACTAGATATACTAGACTATAGACTAGACTATAGACTAGACTATAGGATTAGACTATAGACTAGACTATAGACTAGACTATAGACTAGACTATAGACTAGACTATAGACTAGACTATAGACTAGACTATAGACTAGACTATAGACTAGACTATAGACTAGACTATAGACTAGACTATAGACTAGACTATAGACTAGACTATAGACTAGACTATAGACTAGACTATAGACTAGACTATAGACTAGACTATAGACTAGACTATAGACTAGACTATAGACTAGACTATAGACTAGACTATAGACTAGACTATAGACTAGACTATAGACTAGACTATAGACTAGACTATAGACTAGACTATAGACTAGACTATAGACTAGACTATAGACTAGACTATAGACTAGACTATAGACTAGACTATAGACTAGACTATAGACTAGACTATAGACTAGACTATAGACTAGACTATAGACTAGACTATAGACTAGACTATAGACTAGACTATAGACTAGACTATAGACTAGACTATAGACTAGACTATAGACTAGACTATAGACTAGACTATAGACTAGACTATAGACTAGACTGTAGACTAGACTATAGACTAGACTATAGACTAGACTATAGACTAGACTATAGACTAGACTATAGACTAGACTATAGACTAGACTAATAGACTAGACTATAGACTAGACTATAGACTAGACTATAGACTAGACTATAGACTAGACTATAGACTAGACTATAGACTAGACTATAGACTAGACTATAGACTAGACTATAGACTAGACTATAGACTAGGACTATAGACTAGACTAGACTATAGACTAGACTAGGACTAGACTATAGACTAGACTATAGACTAGACTATAGACTAGACTATAGACTAGACTATGACTAGACTATAGACTAGACTATAGACTAGACTATAGACTAGACTATAGACTAGACTATAGACTAGACTATAGACTAGACTATAGACTAGACTATAGACAAGACTATAGACTAGACTATAGACTAGACTATAGACTAGACTATAGACTAGACTATAGACTAGACTATAGACTAGACTATAGACTAGACTATAGACTAGACTATAGACTAGACTATAGACTAGACTATAGACTAGACTATAGACTAGACTATAGACTAGACTATAGACTAGACTATAGACTAGACTATAGACTAGACTATAGACTAGACTATAGACTAGACTATAGACTAGACTATAGACTAGACTAGACTATAGACTAGACTATAGACTAGACTAGACTAGACTATAGACTAGACTATAGACTAGACTATAGACTAGACTATAGACTAGACTATAGACTAGACTATAGACTAGACTATAGACTAGACTATAGACTAGACTATAGACTAGACTATAGACTAGACTATAGACTAGACTATAGACTAGACTAGACTAGACTATAGACTAGACTATAGACTAGACTACAGACTAGACTATAGACTAGACTATAGACTAGACTATAGACTAGACTATAGACTAGAATATAGACTAGAATATAGACTAGAATAGAGACTAGACTATAGACTAGGCTATAGACTAGAATATAGACTAGAATATAGACTAGACTATAGACTAGACTATAGACTAGACTATAGACTAGTATATAGACTAGACTATAGGTTAGACTATAGACTAGACTATATACTAGACTATATACTAGACTATAG